AAGGATGCTCCGCCATGTCCGGCAACGTGTTCTTCGACATCGACATCGAGAACTGCTTCGTGGTGCTCCTCTGCAACAGTTTGGAGGATGCGTCATTGGACATTGGGGACTACCCAACTCTCATGTCTTTCAAGAATAACCACAAATCATGGAGAGCATTTCTTTGCGATTATCTGGGTGTCAGCATGAAGGACGCAAAGCGCGCTCTCATCCGCCTCGTGCACCTAGCTGCTCCTCGCAACGATCTGCCTTTCCTATGGAATCTTTCTCGGGGGATTAAGGAGGCCGTGAACCGTTTCCTCAGTCTGCCTCAGTTTTCATATTTGCAGGATATGTTCAACGAGAGGCCAAATCCGACAGCTACAAGACTGCACTATGCACTGTCCAGCATTGAAGATTCAATCGTGGACGAAGTCGAGACGACTCTCAAGACAATAGGCGGGATCAGTATTAACACCTACATGTTCGACGGGATGATTGTCGAAGCACCGCCGACAGCCGTTTCGGACATCGACATGGTCTTATCGGCGTGCTCGGCTCGTCGAAGAGTGACCTTCACGGTGCAGCAGTTCCACCCGCAGAGCGGCGAGAGGGACTCCCTTGGCGGCGCCACGGAGCTGAGCGCGTTCGAACGAGAGCAGCAGCTCACGTACATCCAACTCCGAGACGGAACCATCAGCTCCGAGAGCGAATTCCTCGGATTGGTGATGGACATGGAGCGCCGCTACAGCCGCTCCGCGTCTCTGTTGAAGAACTTGATGAGACTGCGTCCTCGGCCCGAGCTACTTCGCCACAGTAGCTCCTTGCCAGACGTGCCAGACAGACCGTGGAATTCGGTTGGCGACACGGGAACACCTGCAGGGATTCCCAATGAACAGTTCGCCCGAGAAGAGCGTTCGCGTTGTTTTCAGGAGCTGCGTGATCTCGGCGCCGTGGGGCTTGCCTGGGTAGTGCGTGATCGGCGACGCCACATGGAGAGCATGGACAGCGCGCCATTCTCTTTTACATACTACAGAGACGATCCGCGACCCCTTCCTGGTTCGTTTCAGATCGCAGTGCGGCCAGAGCATTCGGTGGGGCGCATCGACACGGAGGCGTTCCTAGACGCGCAGGAAGCATTGTTCACATATGCTATCAATCTGCGTGATTCCACGGGCGTTGATCGGTCTGCGTCCACCGTGCTCGCCTCCATGGCGCACTCCCTGGAGGCAGATTTTGGCGGCGAGGCTCGGTACCTCCGCATTTTGCAGATGCGGGAGTTCCGACGTTCGAGAGGCGACGCTCTCGGCGGTTCGAGCTGCAGCGTCTGCGGCTGTCTGAGCGCGGACTTAATTCCACGTGGGCCCCATCGCGTCTGCCATGAATGTATCCGCTCATCGCCGCCAGGCGTTGCGGCTTCTTCGTCTTCTCCTTCGCCGCCGGACTCGGGCGCCTGCCGCCTCTTCGGCGACCAGGGGCCCCATTCCGCCGGTTTCGCGCAGTTCATGTTGAGTCATGCAGACGAACAAATTGGGTGGATCCAGTTCGACGCATCTTCCCAGAACGGCGGCTTGGGTGGAGGACTTCAAGCGCCTGACGAGCGCGTCGAGGCCGGGGGCGGAAACAGGGGTCGGGTTAGCAGTTTCTCGTCTGCGTGTATTATAATGTTGTCGTGACAAGGGTGCGACGAAAAGGGCGGATGTTTTCGGAGTCGGCGATGCCCAGGTAGAGGGAATCTTTTCATCCAGGGGTGGGCCGGGCCCAAATCGCATGATGCAGCGGGGGGTCTGGGAAATTAGCATTCTCAACATTCGAAAGATCAGAATTTGTTTTCGTCGCGCAATGGTTTGGCGGAGCCCATATAAGATTTGCTTTTTAACAACAACAATGGTTTAAATTTTGCCCTGCTCAGGCACCCGACGAGTGCGTCGAGGGCGATGCATCCGGCGACGTGGGAACAGCGACGTCGACATTGGCGGCGAACTCCCCGGCCTCGACGACATCGATATGAGCGATGTGTCGTCGGAGACTCTCCTCTACGACATCGATATCCTGGACGACGCGTTCAACGAGAGCGAGGACTCGGAAGAGGAGGGCGAGTTGCCAGAGCAGGAATCTGAGGATGAGCTCGTTGAGGAGTTTACATACTCAGATGGTATTCTGACAGACGTGCCTCCTTCTGGAGACCTTCTGTGCGACGGTGAAGACGACGCTGCAGACCACTCCGAGGGGTTGCCGCCGCTCCCGCCCGCGCCAGCAGATGCTCTGGGCGGCGCTGCAGGAGCAACGGGCCTGCGGCAGAACACTGGCACTCAGTTCTTTGCCCACGTCAAAGCTGAAGTAAATTCGCCTGCTTTTCCCATCGCAGAACGTGGAGTTTATACTTCCGGCCTTTGGCCCGCCCCGCCGCCCCATGCCTGCGTCGCGAGAGAGAAGCGCCTTGGGTCTCGCTTTGGATTATCTTGCGATGCTTCTCGGGAGCAACGGCTTGATCGTAGGATTTTGTTACTGCCATATGTTTCAGGTTGTTGGTTCTTGTGCGATTTCCTGGGGGATCTCGGGTTTTTTGAATTATCTTAGTACGCGCCGCGGCGCGTGCTGGCGGATTCGCGCCCATTCTGCGTGAGTCGCTTTTTCTGCCGACCCGAGCGTCGGGGCGACCTCGCGCATTGGTATCATCAGATGAGCGACGAGGGAACTTCTTGCACACTGGTTTCTAAATTGGCTAGAGCGCTCTGCGAACAAGACGAGTTCGACGAACACGTTGCCGCAGTGTTTCCAGTGCTCGGGTCGCGCTCCCCCGATCGCCGTTACCTGACTCGGGCAGCGAGCTTCATCCGAGCTTCGGCTCCCGCGCGGAATCCGAAATGGGGACAGGCGCGATTCCAAGAGCGAAGATAATGATACACATGGGTGGCGGGCGATGTTTTGCTCGATTTGGGTGGGGGGATAGATGATCGGGAGGATAAATTTAACACCGAAGTTTCGGCCTGCTTCTTTTTTGGGCCCCCCAGGTTCACAGCGACGACGCCTTCCAGAATATCGAGGGTAAAGTGATGAGGATGGATAAGTTTGCGACGTGGGCAATTACTGCAGATGGACCCAAACCCCTGATGAAGTGCAATATCAAGGCTTCGCGCGGGTTCGCTCGCATCGGGAACGCAGTGTACCACGAGGATTTCGCCGCGAAGCTCCTGGTCACTCTCGCCCACCCGCAGAACAAGGGTGCTTCTAGAACGGTTCGCGACGCGCTGGTAAGTTCTTTCATTGCAGGTGGAAATCCTGCTGCTTTGCTGCTCCCGTGTGATAAGACGATATACGCAATAGCTGATCGAGTTTTACGAAAAGGAAGC